GTCACATTTTATCCAGTAATTGGTACATTACATATCATGTCTAATGTGCTTGAAAACTAAGCTCCCAAGAAATCCTTGTTTTCCCCAAGCACTTCTTCTAAATCTTGACCTTTTTTAAAAAGCTGCACTTGTGCAAGTAGGTCAATCTTAAATTAATCTAGTTAAATGTAGTGTGCTCTCAATTTAAACTGGTTTAACACTCCCTTAAATAGGTTTAGATGTATTCAGTAATATCCCAGAAAAAAATAACTGCTTTAAAAAAGGTTTAAACTAACTTAAGTGCATGTAGACAGACAAATGTGAAATCAATTTTGATAAACCAATGCAATAAGGCTAATAAGACGGCCCTTTCAGTTCTGGTACAGAAAAACAGGATGTAAGACAGGATTTTTCTTCAAGCTGCTAGAAAATTTACAGAGACAGTACCTATCTGAGATGCTCCCTGGCAGTGACTTTGAAATTCATGACAGTCATTTGAAATATTGCCATTGAAGGAAATACTTTGAAAAACATTTTTGTTGAGCGTTTTGACAGTACGGTATCTCCAATGTACTGCCACTCCTGGGAAGAAATCACTGAAACTTTCTGGATTTAGATGCATCATTCATTGTCCATAATTTTTAAATTTAAAAACAATGAGGGGATATATATCGCCTAAATGGATTAGAGTCATGGGAACAAGGAAATTCCTCCCTAGTTTCAAGGCTGGTATATTAAGATTTCTTCCTCTTACTTTTTTCTTCACTTTTTTGTTTGTTTGTTTTATTTACAGTTTTTAAGTTCAAAAGAAAGTAAAGGTATACATTTTTTTCCCAATAAGTGATGATTTTTCAGATATCTACTTATGCAACATGATTTCCATTTCCTGTTTGTCCCTTTACCTTTTTATATTTTAACTGCACATATTGTGAAACATTTTCCTGTAAAATCCCATCCATTTTGATTTGCTGTTCCTGAACAGTGTTTGTTCTTCTGCTGTATTTGCCAAGCACTACAAGAATAACCTGAGTTTCAATTGAGACTGCCTAGGAGCACAAGATACTTCATAAGGTGCATGAAGAAACCATCCTGTTCCAAACAATTTAGGAAGCTAAGGCTCTTATCTCACCTGAGGTCTAGATAGGGAGATCAAAAAGGAAATGGAGTCTGCTGTAATTGAAACAGCCTCCTCCCTTGGGAACTTGAAAAGTAGTTGTGCTAAATGGGAAACTAGAAGATGACAACTGGCTGAAAGAAGATTACAGTCCAATACACACACTTTGCATAAAATGTTGAAAGAATAGAATTTCCTTTCCTTATTAAATAAAAAAAAAAAAAAGAAAAAAAAAAGAAAATAAATGCGCACCATATTTTATCCTCCATATCTCCCTCATTCACTGGCAAAAGAAATTCTGTCCTTGTTTCCACTGCTTCCCTGGGATGCTAAGTCTATTGTCCTTCTTTCTGGCAATATTTCTAGGATCACCTGCAGCACCATGGATGGAAATTCAGAGAAAAGCCCTCCACAGCTCAGCTGGAGTTGAGGTACCGGCTGTACTCTGCTTACAGGGTATTATGAAAGCAAAGAAATATATCCTTGTAGAAAGCCTGCAAGTGTAAAATTGTATGACAGGAGGTTTTTTCCTGAGTGACAGGCCCATTAGTCTCTACTCCTACAAAAGCCTCATTCATTCTTCAGGATGAGGGAGGAGTCAAAGCACAAATCTCTTCAGAGAACACGATTGATAAGAACATACCATTGAAGTGAGAATAAAGGAAAGCAGCAATGAGCTTTGAAGATGATGTATTTCTATTGCAACTGTCTTCGGAGTGTAGAGTGTGATTAAACAAAAGAAAATACAAGAAAATTGACAAAATGTGATAAGAAAAAAACCCCATCAAATCAACCAAAAACCTGAAGTATGAAGACACTAAAATGAAGTAGTCAGAATAAATTGCTGTAGTAATTAACTATACTCAGAATATTGATTTTGTATATGATTCCTTATTTAGAATGAAAACTACTTTATAAAGACAACAGTTTATGAAAGCCTTCCATTAAGTTGCCTGTCTTTTCTGAGGTAGATGGCATATAAACTGTTTTCATTAGAACAGTACAAGGTGAAGAATGAGGCTAGGGATTTTCAAAAGGACCTTATTTTTGCATTCTTGCTGCTAAGTAAACAAGTTGCTCTGTGTTTTTGAATCTCTCCGGAATACTGGAATAGGAATCAGAGAAAATCAGCCCCTTGGGGTGAGGGTTAGTTTAAAAATAAAAATAAATCATCAAATCTTTTTCCCATTCTATTGGATTTCAAATAATACTACAAGAAGGTGTCTATTGGACTATTGGAACAATGAATCTTAAAATTGACACTCACCTGGGAAAAATGACTCATAGCTAAGATCACATACATATTTTTCAACCTTCTGCTTTTCAGTGTTCTGAGACTCAGCTCAAAATTATAGGAAGCTTAAGAGAGCTGTAAGTCTTTCTTTCCTGTCAATCCCAAATAGTGTGCTTGTCTTCTTTTTCCCCCTGGAAATTTTTTGCAGGCACAAAAAAACCCCAAAAAACGAACAAACAAAAAACCCCAAACAAAAAAAAAACCAACAACAGCAACATAACAAAACAAATTAAAAACTCCAAACCAAACCCAAAAACAAAACAACAACCAAAAAAAAAAAAACCCAACAACAACAACCACCACAATAAAACACCCAAACAAAAACAAAAAACCCCCAAAACCTGCATGATCCTCCAGAATTCCTAGATATAAGCTAATTAGTAAGACAATGAGGAAACCTAGCCTACCTAATAACTAAAAGTCACCAATCAGACAAACAGATGCCCTGCATTTTCAGAAGAAATGCACATCTATTGATCTTTCTAGGGTTACAATGATGGGCAGTTTTCTCTGGACAACAACTATGACCTATGACACAGTTCTTACCATATCAACAATGAAACCAACAGTTGCCAGAATTCTTCAAAGAACTTGCATTGGTAAGATATTTCTATTAATTATCATGTATTTTCAAAAAGTCTTCAATTTTTTTACATTTAATATTCCATTTTATCAGGAATGTCCCTCAAAAAAGTTTATATAAGCACATCAAAGTACATAAGATATTAAATTTTCAGAAAAATTTCCAATCATAACTCTTAAACATTTGTGATATAGATAGTAAACCTTTTTTATTATAAAAGTTCAAAGTTCTAAGATATATAAAATCACAAATTTTAGTAATAGCATCAATTTACTTTCCCTTGACTTTTTTAACCACATTATATTAAAATACATTAATACAAGCAATAGCTTTTGAAAACTGTTCTACAAAACACAAACCTCAAAAGCCCTATAAAGAAATGAGTGCCATTAGGCAATATGAAAATTGCTTAAGTTAAAGAAGAATGAGACAGCCAGAAGTTCATTCACTTTCACACAAGGTGTGGAACTGCTCCAAAAGAGTTATCCCAATTAAACTGACATCCTGACTTCAACGTACACATGCCTGTAGATTTTCCTGAATGCTTCAAACAAGAGCTCCAAAATCACTGAACACTATGTGCAGTGCTGGTCTCTAACCAACATAAAAACCAGACACACAAAATCACCTTCATTTACCCTCACAATGCTATGTCTGACTATGTACCCAAACTGCACAAACAGAGGACTCCCACCAGTGCTCCTTTGAGCTAAACATGTGAAGAAGGCAAATATGAGCTATGCAATACCACAGTTTTTCCTCCAGTAAGAATTTAGGGCTTTTTTCACAATAATGAAGCGTCTTGAACACATTGCACAACTGAGGGCTTTTACAGTACCTTACACACCTCTTGCTTCAATTGACTCCAGCAGAGCAGAAGTATTGCACCAATGAAATAGTCACAACACCATATTTATACTAAAATGCTAAATTAAAGTTTTGTTTCAGACCCCAGGCTACAAATACTGCGACATAAAAAGTTCTCAGTTTTTCTTGGAGGATCTCAGGTGAGAAGGGGAAAGAAAAGGAATTAGATAAAGCCTCTCATTAGTCATAAATTCAGTGTAACATTGAAATACAACAGTTTTCCACTTCTTGCCATATCTATAGCCTTTTGTATGCCAGAAACATCCTATTTCTGTGTCTCTGAAGACATGTGTCAAACTTCATGTACCTGGCTTAGAGGGATCTACTAGGACAACTGAAGCTGCTTGGAAACAAAACCTGCCACAGCATCAAACACAGAATATGTCTAGAGAAAATCTCTTCTTCGATACTGTTCTGGAGATGCAAAATTAGACTTAGCTTTTAATCAGCATTCACAGATAATAGCAGTAATTCAGTCACATCACCTTAGAGCTTGGCAGTGGCCAGATTTTAGTCATGAAGAATAAAGGGTATATTTAGTCTTTATTTGGTAAATGATCGGTGCACAAACTGCACTGTGCAGTCATTCATTTGACTGTGGGGAATGTACAACTTAATTAGATTTGACATGTTAAAATCAACAATTCCAAAAGACATTCAAAAGTTTTTGGGAAACACCAATTCCGCTCTTGGAATGGCATCTTTAAGATTTGCCTGCCATTGCATCATCAAAGATGCAAACTGAAGACTAGGTTTCATGTCCATTAGTATCCACAGAATTGGTGGATAGCTGAAGTAGTTCTTATATCACTGTTAAATATTCCACATTTCCCCTAAAGCTAAATAAGTTTGACATGTTAAAATATGCAAAACTAAAGTAGTTTAGGTAAATATTCACCAGTACAATGTTTGAATGATCATGAAGTTTCCTAATAAGAATTCAATGTTTTTCAAGCAAAACATGTTTTCATACTGTATTACAATCAGGCAGATACTTTTCTGCCTTAGATTCAGAGACAGATCAACCAAATATATTTCTAAAGTAATGTTAGCCAAGGAAAGAAAACCATGTGACTTTAGGAACAGGGGAACAGGGAAGTAGTTCTATTAGCTGAAAATTCATGCCACTCATCTATTTTGTTTAAAATTAAATCTTCTCTTACCATCATGATTGGGGTTTCCCAAAGTCCATGGCTCATCTGAGTCAAAATGAGTGTCTCCCCCAATTCCTGGGCCAGGAAAATATGCATGAGCTAAAAATCCTCCCTCCCCATCAAAGGGAGAACTGTCTCCATGAAAACCTGATGCAAAAATGATTGTAATATCCACGTCTCTCTTGCCATTTTCTAATTCAATGTAAGGAACTTCTTCAAATGTTAGAGGGGTTACATTCTGCCACACATCGAAGGCACGGCGAATGGCTTTACGGGTTTCAGCATCACCTACTTTTGGAGTGACGTTCTTTATGCTGAAAGAAACAGAGAAACATTACACAGATTAAATTTAACAGAGTGGTAAGTGACACTGCTAATATCCATTTTCCCCTAATTATTATATGCTCTGTGCCTTTAATAAGACATGCTATACAGGCATTATATACTTTAGGAAGAGTAGTTTTAAACAAGCTGGTGCAAAATTATGGTGTCAATTTGTATAGTCCTTTAAGCTAGAACTTATTATGTTAGCTGGCTTACTCCCAGCAGTACAAAAAGTCTTATATTTAGAAGATTTAAAATATATTAAAATGAAAAATTCTTAACAGTGGGATAACCAGATTAATCAACCGCTGACTGTTTACCTCCTGGACCACAATTAGAATCCATCAGAGCTAAAGAATGTCATGTTCTTTCTGATCAAAAGAAAAATGTTTTTACTGAAATGAAATTTTTACTTATTAGTGAGTTCATTTACAAAAGCAGAACTCCATACTGTGACCACCAACCAGTATTCACAAAGCCTTGTTGCATTTGCAACTGGATAAATTCCTTATCAGAAACAAAGCCTTTTGACTTCAGTACAGGCTAAGATGTCCTTTGATGATCTGATTACATCTGTAAATCTTGCATAACACTGCAGAATCCATCAGAGAAATAATTTTATAGAAGACAATTATGTGCTAACTCAGGAATATATATTAAAGAGAAATTTCAGTCTTCACCACTTCTTCAAGTTACACATATATGAAAAGGCAAAAAAATATAAGAATTGAAGATTACTCTCAGAGTTAGTAAATTATAGTGAAAATATCTTTTAAAAAATTTTTATTTTCATTATTGAATTCAAGAAATGAATGTCAATAATCAAGACCTATCCAATTTTCTGCATCATTTCCACTGGATTCATAGGGGCAGCAAAAACTCTTTTAGGTTTGTGTCTGCTCTGAAACTGCTGCAACAAGATTCTCTTTGTTCATTTGACATGTGCTTGACTGAACGTCCAGCACAAATTTCAGAAATTACATAGTTCTAGAGTATATGTAATATTTTTGCCAGTTTACACAGCATGGGACATTAAAGGAGAACAAATATACTTTTATGAATAAACTTTGAATGATTGATTTGTTTGGTACATTAAATGTGCTTGATTATATGGTATTCATGTTTATATAAATGGAAACAAATCTTTCAAGCGTAATTTTATAGATTTTACTTCAAATATACATTTTGTTCACAGCTTTATGTAGAAAACATAAAGATACATATTTGGACTTCCACTCAAAATTATTTGAATGTATTGAGTCCAATAGTGCTGTCTAACCAAAGCATAATTTTTTAGCTGGCATGTATGTTCCAATAAGATATCAAGAGAAACCATAAGACAATACATTGTAAAGAATCCACTGTTTTCCTTGATCTTTTGTTCCAAAGGTGATTTAACTAATCAATTCATAATTGTGCCTATTCTATTAATTGCCTGGTTTATATTATTGGTTCTCATTCTATTTTTCTTGGTCACATTCATGAGCTTCAAAATTTTCCCCCTATACACAAAGACATTTAAAAGACATTTCTGCACCGCAAAGCCATTATCTTTTTGTTGTCTCTAAGCAATTAAAATTTTGAACTCTTTAAACCTCAGGCTAGAAGATATTTTCTCCAGTCAATTGAATATTTTCTAGTGACTTTTATTCAACTTAACCAATTTCTAATGCTCTTTCAAAACTGGCTCTGTCAGACCTAAAAAGTACTGCAGTACTGATCTTGCTGTCAGAGAGAAAATACCCTCTGATCTGTAGGCATGACCTTGCTCTACATGATGTAAATGTCATGTGATTTAAAGTGTTTCTATCATGCCCCTTCATAATTATTTGGTCATCAGTAAATTTATGGTCAGTGTTGCATTGCATTTTTTGTGATTAAAAACATATTGGACACGCTGTACCAACAATCAGCCCTTGCAGAACCCCTCTCTGAAAGCTCCTGCCTTTGAGACTTAGGTTTTTTTGAGATGTTTTAATTAGCAAGTTCATAAAATGCTGTCTGTGCCCCCTGAGAAAGTACAGCATTTTGGAACGTGTCCTGTGACACAAAATCAAAACCACATCACAGTGGCACACTTATACTTCCACTACCAAAGACTTCCCTGTTGCTATGCTAAGAATATCCCTTACAAAGGAGGCAGATGTGCTCCCAGGCAGTCTTGCTAAGTGCTCCCTAAGGCACGTGAATTGCCTGCAGAGCTCTGTGAAGGACTAGAGCCTCTGCTATTTGCCATGTATAAGAAATATGGCAAATGAATCAACAGGCTCCCATAGAAAATAGAGCATGTCTAGAAAAACTGAAATATTGATATAGAAAAAGTTCATCTGAAATAAACAGCTAAGGCTTTGGGGGTTTTTATCTATTTGTTTCCTTGTTAGACTTTTTTTTTTTTTTTTTTTTTGGTATTTAGGAATCTTAGTAATTAGTCAAAGTCCCATTTTGGTACAGAAGGACCTTCTGCTATTATATGTGAAATGAGGAAATGGATAAAAATGCATTGGAATTTTGTATTAGTGTTAAATTGAGTAATGATTAGTCTGAAAGGGTTTGACTCAAATATTAAAACTTATTATTTTACATTTTCTTGCTTTTCCAGCACATTGAATTAAGTTTTAATCAGATTACAAATGAGGAATTGAGCCATTGGGCTAGTTTCGCACTCCCAAGCTAGAGTAGCCTACCTTTGATAGCAGATATTATCCATGGGACCAGCTATTGACTTAATTTTGAAATAGCATGCTACATCTCCAGATTCATTGTAAAGTAATATCTTTTTTCAAAGCATATTTTCTGTGCTAAAACCAGAGAGATTAAAACCAGAGTGTAGCTTGAAAGAGAAATTACATAAATCAGCAGTTATTCCCAGACAAGAGTATTTACAGGAAACAACTGTCCACTTTTAATGTGTTAACCACAATCCAGGTTCAATCTTAAAAAGAGCTACACAAGCATTGAAATTGTCTTGCTGGGAACTTTGCTTAAAATAATTCACCAGTGCAGATATGTGAAACCGAAGTTATGTTACATTTCTTTCATGTTGTTTACCATACAAACTCTAAGGGGGAATTACAATAAAATCAATCCATAAAGACAGTCTGTCAATTAACAGAGATACTAGGATTCATGTTTTAGAAGTCTTCAGTTTAGACCTATGATTGCAATAGCATATAATGTCTCATATGAAGCCTTTCCTATTTAGATCCACAACTTAAATCCAGCAATCACCTGAAATAGTGGTAACTCCCACAGGAATAAAAAAAAAAAAGACAGGAATTGGTTATCTTACACTCACCCTGTCCAGATAATGGAACTCAAATAGAAGTAAGTGTAGGACGCAACAACGCAGAACCACTCTTATTGCAATGTGAAAGTATCACAAGACAAAGCCCTTCATAATAAAAATCCATCTTTTTTTCAAAGTATTGCTTTCCTAGCCTCAATGTCTAGTGATCGTTTTAAAGCAAAGTTCAAATGAGAGAAAGATCCAAAGCTGACCTTGACCATACTGGCAGTGCAACTTTACAAAGAATTTAAAGATCCTATAATTACTAAAAAAAAGACAATTTGTAAGATGAAACATTTATTTTCATGCCTTTTTTCTGAACTAATAAACTGAGTGGTACTTTTTATAAATTTTGAGAGCTGTTATTTGTAGATAACCACAGCCATGTATCAATCGATTATGCTTTTTTTTGGTTATCATTGGTTTTGCATGATCTTCAACCTGATAGTTGCATCAAGCATTATAACTTTAAAATACATGTCTTCCACAAGAACAATTAGATTTTATCACTGATATGCACTTTTCACATTCATGTACTATTTCTACAGCTGCCTCAAGAGTCTTGTTTTGCGAGTGTTATTCTAGAATCCTGAGTCCTATTGATTTCAGAAAAGCTTTGGGTTTTCCTTCCCTTCCCACTCCTTTCCCAGAATATCCTAAAAGAAAAACTATACATGTTTTACTGACATATTTTTGGCTGCATCAGCTTCAGGAGCCTTGCAAGATTGTCAGGATATACCTCACTTGACTGTGTAAAATCAGTAATTTGAAATTTAAATAGATGAAAGAGCAGGAGTTTCAACTGAGTAGGTAAAAAGATGCAGTCAATAATCTGTTTGAAGTAAGCTAGTTAAGATCTGTTCCTGATATGAAACTGTTCAAGTAAAATGAATTGAAACATACATTAAATTTGAATAAGTTGTTCACACAACCTTTTTATTGTCACTGATGTAAATCAAACCTAAACTGAAGCAAAACTTTGGAGGTTTGTTTGCTGCTTTCATGATATTTTGGGTTGGTGGGTTGGTTTGGCTTTTTTTGGTTGGTTGGTTGGTTGGTTGGCTGGTTGTTTTTTAATCACACTATAACTTTTATTGAAAGCAATAAACTACCTCTGGCCAAAAACATATTTCACTTTGCACCATAATTTCTCTAGAAATTGGTTTCTATGAAGTTGCTTCACTAATCTCTCACTCATGTAAGGTTTTTTAGCTTCAGCTTTTTTCCAGTTTCAGTTTGCTGACTTTTGGAGCTATAGACTAAGAGTGCTATCTTGGTTAACATAGGTCTTGTTCACATTGATTAAACCTAATCCAGAATTACTACTTTTGATTTTCTGTGGGTTTGATTTTCAACCTACTGCTGCCATGATTGAAAGAACTTATAATTATCTTGTCTCTTCATTTTCATGGATAACATCCTCCTGAACATTCACTAAAAGAAGATGAAATGTGAAAGAGATTTCTGAGACAAAACCCCAAGAATAGTAAAATACTTGATGGCCAAATGTCTTTAAAGGAAAGCTATTTTAAGAAATCTGATGTCATAATATGCTACTAGGTAATCTAAAATCAATAGCATGCAACATAAAAGTGGAATGTGTTCTAAATATTACTTTTTATTAATACATTAAAAAATTTTGCTACTATGAATCAAAAGTATTTTCAAAGTTTTTTCTTATTTTTCTTAATCCAGTATTTCCTTATTTTTTAGAGTGGATTTTAAATATCAAAAAAGAAATTCTCTCTCCATATTCTACACAATGTGGACCATTTAGACTCTAGAAATTTCACAGTCTATTGCTAACAAGCTAGATAAGACTTTTCATTGCATACTGAAGCTCCCAGCTAGCATTCATTCTTTATCTGAACAGCATAAACTTAGACCTGTTCAAATATTTCATTTGCTTTCAGAAATGAAATCTAGGATGTATCTAATTTGTAAAAGAAAAATGACAATTACCTGGGGCTTGACCCATTGTCCACTGAAGTCAAGAAAAAGATGAAATTATTTATAGTGGGTTTGGGATGAAGCTATTGACTATCTACAGCTAAGTTTCCTGCACCAATTAAATTATTACATATTGCTCATTGATTACATTAGTTTTTTTCCAAACATAAGCAAGAAAAAACAAATCAGAGTAGCTTTTCAATTATTATTTTATTTTAAATTGTTACAAGTTCTTACTCATGGTTATAAATCAAGACAAATCTTTTATTTTTAAAGAATATTTTCCAATTTTACTTGCAAAAGTATTTTGCAGATAGAATAATCTGGGCAGTTGAGAAATGACTGACTGCTGGAGTTCAAATTATTAATACTATGCACAGAATTCTGATGAGGAGTGTTTCATATTCAATATTTCTCTGTCTAAACTGGACATATAAACATTTATACTCAATTTTTAAAAGTGATAACTTTTTTGTTTCACATTGTTGCTCCTTCTTTAAAGTACTAGATTATTTACTTTTCTAGCAAAAGAGAAGGTGACTATATTTTTGAGATTCATATGTGCCTTCATAAATACCCCCTTAAATATTTTTTTTTAATTTAATTTTTAAAAATCCATTCATAGCTTTCTTAAATTTCTTCTCTGATTCTGTACAATACTCAGAGATCGTTGTGTAACCTCACACAGCCTAAAATACTAAGGAAAGATTAGGACTATATCAATAAGATCTTTCTAGCTTTTTCTGTAATGGAGTCATAATTTTCTTGTACCCCAGATCTTCTCTTTCACCCCTATACTCTTCTGTCTGGTAAAAGTTTCAAATACTTTCTGTTTATTTGTAAAAGTGATGTTATTCTATAGCATGCATACTAATAATGTTCACAGGGTTTATCAGCATGAACTATACCAGGCAGAAAAATACTGTAAACTGGGTAATTTCACCAGAAACAGAAATTCTAACAAACATCACACATTAGTTCAAATGAGAAGAAAGATGCATTCCCTGAGGGAGAGCAAGCATAATTAATGCAGCCCATTGCAGTCCATGCTGATGTTTCCAATGCCAGAAATCTGTATTTTGGTTCTGTATTTTCTGTCTGTAAACACATTACATTCTAAGAATAAATATCACCTAAGTTCAAAATTTAATATGTTGTGAAAAGGACATAAAAAATGTTCAAAATGTAATATGGGGAAAAATACATTATGAATGTAACTTCTAATTATAATTGTAATTTTAAGTGGCTTCTTTGAAACTCCATCTTGAAATATTGCAGAACTGTTTCAGATGGAAAAACTACACATGGAAAATATGGAAATGTTCCAGGACAAGGAATGGTGGAGCTTGCTTTTGGGAATATTTGTTGTACGGTTTTGGTTTTGGTTTCCAAAAAACTGTAAGCTGTAGCATGCAGTGAAAAGAAGGAGAAATTGCTCTTTCTGTGGAGGAATTAGTAAACTGGCTTAGCAAGCACACTTCAGACTGCAAGGTTCAACTGGCCAGGAAGGCACAGAATGCAACTGGAAACCTGCAGGTTATAAAGAGACTGAGGAGTGGCACAGAAAAATGGAGAAATGAAACTAGAGATATGATTAAAATTTTAGGAAACAAAGCAGGTTAAAATGTCATTAATTTAACATGTCATAAGTCTGTAAGCAGAGAATCGGTGAGAAGTGCAAAAATAATCTTAGTTCTTTTTTTTTTTTTGGTCTTTATTTGCTTTGGGCTATTTTCCAATTCAAAAAGATAATATAACATTTTTTTATTCTAATCAAATTTATGGTTTCTATTTTAAATGTATTTTGTACTGTAATTCACTGCCAAAAATATTACAGAGTTATTCACATCAAAGCTCTGTTCAACTGGAGGTCTTATCAAAGTGAGAGAGAGAGGAGGCAAGAGATAAAGAACTGCTATAAATTCTTCAAAGTGAGAAAGATTACTAGATAGTTGTCACTTAGTTTAATACTGGACACCTTCATTTGTTATTTGGATTAATGTCTTGGTTGACAGTCCAGAAGATATACAAGGGGTAGGATTTAGACTGTTGTAAAAATCCTGTAATGAAATAGGGAATCAGACTCTGTAAAAATCATAGTGGTAGGAAAGCACACATATGAGTAGATGCCTCCTAAGTGTGCACACACTGCATTTAAATTCTAAAATGCAAATAGATATAAAGTGCTGTGGGTGGGCATTTTTATTCTAACCAATTATAAATTACATTTACATTAACAATAAAGGACTTCAGCCAAAGCAACATACCAACCCAAAATTGTCTGTTGCTTGATGTTATATCAGAATGTAATGTCTTAAACTAGAATTCTCTAATTCAGTTATAAACCACAGTAGTGACATAGGGTTACTAGTGAAGTTATATGTTCACCACAGTATGAAGAACAGTCTATATGACAATTATGGCTTTTGAGCTTTAATACTTGCATGGGTTTATGAATAATGGCATCAGATAATGAATTTGAAAACTATTTTGTCACCCAGAACTTACCCCTGTTAGATATTACAGGAATCCATGATGAGGCTGTGTAAATTTTCCAACAGTTTGTATTGGAATCCTTCGTTTGCTGACAGATTATGGACTTTATGTTATATACATGATGACACTTTCTCTGGTTGACAGAGCTCTAGTGAGTATATCTTGAAAGTTTCCATCTAACTTTCCCTTCAAGGCCTCAGTTTTGACAGCAGGCACACTGTGCTAATAACTATGTAGCAGACTCAGGAGTTATACAGATGCACACACTCCTATGTCCATCATCACCTAGGCTGGAAATGGTTGGGTCAGTGACTCGTCAAATTATAATCAAATTAATTGGTACTTAGAAGAGACCCATAGGCACCTACATTTTGCACAGATTGACTCCTTTCAATACCCTATTTTACATATTTAAATTATAAATCTGAGTTTCATTACATACTCCTAGATTCAGAGCATTATTCCCTGAGCAGTTGCCAAGTTGAAAGGTAACCCTAAGGAAGTACTAGGTGTTTAATTGATGCTGTAAGCTTTGTAGAATTTACTGGCTACCAAATACATGCAATTTTAATCCAAGAAAAAAACTCGGTTTTTATGCAGCACATACATACTTATAGGACGTATCCATCGTAACACTTTAATATCGTGCAGTAATAATAAACTTCTCAAAGTATTGAAAAATATTCGGGAATTTATATTTACTTTAGGTGGAAAGTCATCACTGTTAGTGACATTTGTATGCCTGTAGGAATATCTTTGGTACCTGTAAGTGATATGTTTGTGTTGCCATTTCTGTCCTGTTAACGCGTAGCGTTTCCGACGAATGTTAAATTTGGAGCTACCTCTTGTTTGGTCAGGCACACCACATCGAGGTTTCTTCATCCAGCTGCAAGAAACAGCACCACACAGTTAAAGCAACATGGAAGAAAAATCATAGCCACTGCATCCCTAATAAAAACATGTAATTATCGGTATATATAATTTTATAGAACATAATAAACTAATAAATATAAAAGACTGTTGGCCTTCTTTTAATTCAAGATACTGAAATTGCTACCTTTTTGATACTACCAAGTTCTTCTATCTTACTCATTTTCCACACAATGAGAAGTATCTCATTGCAACTGTGAACTCCTAATGGAGATACTTAACTCACGAATTATTGCTTAAGAATATTTAATGTTCTGCACAAAATCAAGCTGAAAAATCTAAATCACATGCAATAAAAAAGATTATTTCAGTAGCACCAGATTTCCCAGATAAAGGCTGTATTTCTACAATGCTCTTCAATATTTCATTGTTTTCCAATATTAAAAAAAATAAACTAGCCAGCATTTCAAACATATTATAATTAAGGTATCTAATTCAAAAGTATAATTTCCACAGCAATATCCTTGAACTGTTTCTCACTTGTAGTGTAAGGCACTATTCAGTTCAAAGAAAATACAGCTATAAAGTCATTATTTTATGAGTTGAATGGCTGCAGGACAATTTACCATCAGGAAGAGAGTAAGGCTAAAGGCTTTTACTGCATATGTAAAAGACAAATCTCCTCCGTTATTTTTTCCAGCCTAATGTATTTCTATCATGCCAAACAATTATTTATGTAAAAGCTATAGTTTTCCAATAGCATTTAACAGAACAGTAATCATACCCACATTCAGGCTTTCATGTATAAATTTCTCACCATTAAACTGGCATTGTTTTGTAAATAAATGTACATACAGCAGCTGTATATATGTGTGATTGGATGACAGGATAAAGTAATTTCAAATGTCATCTCAGAAAGTGGATTCCGTTTAAAACATGCACAGGTCTAAAAAAACTCCAAAAAAGCAAACAATCATCAGCCTCACTTATTTTGATAAATGTATAAGAAGTAGTTTAAAAGTACAGCTATACTTGTAACACTTCATATATGCAGTAGTTATGGGTATATAGCAAACTGTTTTTCAAAGGCACAAGTAGGTGTTAAGCTCACCAGCCTGTGGGAAAGTACAAAATTCTCTTGATAGTACCAAGATGGGGCTGCATTCCACTTGCACTGAGAAGAGCCTACAAAAACTCTGATGTGAGACAAATGTATCGAGTAGTACAGGTCAGGAACTAAAAATTCATGGATTTAACTGCCTTAACTGGAGACATCAAGGTGATTACCTGTTTCTAATAAGAAACACAGAATGAATTATTCTAATTTCTAGTCAGAATACTTATGCTTGACACATAAAATATCTGATGTACAAGGAAAACAATGTTATTTCCCTAGTGCCTGAAAAGACTGCACTGCAAAAATCTAAAAGCCCTTATCCAACCAGCATTTGCTGAAGCATCCTGAAATTTTACTTCAGGTTCCTTTGATTTTTGAAATAAAATAACCATGCAACAAAGTAGACATTAGGGATTGTTGGGATTAAATATTACTGAAAAGTTTAATTTGCTCTAATAATGAAAGAAAATGAAGGAAAGAAGTAGACCTCTGTTACAGACCAAAGGGCAATAATATTCTTTTATTAAAATGATATGTTTACACTTCATGAGTTTGAAATTGGTTCAGACCTTCAAAAACTTTTAGACACATTGTTAGTAACACTTTTTAATAAGGATATTATAAATTATGTTGTTGAAACTGAACACAGACAATGCAGAAAAAGATGCAAACCTAACAAAGATTGATGTTCTCGCCTTAAGGTGATATCCCTACATCAAGAGCAAGAAGCAAGGAAAAAGGCAAAACCTAATAACTATTATACTTTGTTAGAAACACTGCACAAAGATGTTGTATAAAATGTACATGTATCACTCATAGTTGTATCATTTCAAGGACAATGACTTAAAAGTCAGTGAATTACATTGAATTAGTCCTTTCCCTTCTCCAAAAAGTTTACATTACTTAGCTTAACTGATGGAGACCTATTTTAATAACAGGGTTTGCTCACTAGCAAGCTAGGAGCAGATAAGAGTAAATATTATAAGTTCTGAATTTAAAAGTTCATCTTCAAAGCTACTGAAATAATTTTTCAAGCCAAAAGATTTAATAATCTTACAGAAAATCTTGTTAATGTAAAAATTTTTTCACACTTTTGAACTAATACTAAATGTCAAGAACAGTAGGTAATGTGGATTCAAAAGTCAACATTGTATTACCTTACTACAACAACTGACAATCCTTTTTTAACAAAAGGATTATGTGGCCCAAAATAACATGTTATGAAATTCAAGCAGTCACAATTTGTTCCTGTACTGATTCTGAAGTAGTATGTACCTATCAAGGCCATCATGTTTGTACCCTTATTGGCTTGGACAGAGAGGGGATGTTCCAAGTTGTCGTGGTGTCTGGACCACTAATGTTCTTACTATTGTTACATGAGGTCTGGGACTGTAGTTCACACAACATAAATCCAAATATAAATCAAATGGAAGTCATTGCAGGCGTGGTTCAGTAGCTTATGGGAAATTACCTTCATGTAAAATTTAAGGAAAGATGCAATTTGCAGCTGAAGATTTGGAACATCACCAAATCTATCACCTAGATCTTAGCTGAGCTAAGTTTAGATGTCGAATTTTAAACAAACCAGTGCATGACTAGTATGGGAGCTCAGTATTTTCAAGCACAGAAATGAGGCAAAATGTTAACAACTTCAGACATATAAATTTTCCCTAGGTTTCTCTAAAATTTTAATTTATTTTTCAACAGTAATTGTTTTGACACACACTGAGAGGAAGACTTCTCTTAGTAATTATCATTAATGCTCATGACATTCCAGATATTTAGCACATAATATGGTCTTCCCTTGGGGGAATTGACAAATAAAACATTGATTTCTGTGTTCTTCCCAAATATAGTTTCTTCTAACGTGATATGATCAAGGTTTTCCATGTTCCTGATTGTTTGTTGGAGTTTAATTTTCTGACATGTTTTTGAAATGTTTTGAAATATGCTTCATTTTTAAAAGGTGCATACAAGTAATGATTTTGCCTCTCTTTCATCATTTTGTTTTTGAACTTTGAGAAATCTTTTCTGCAGCAGCCCTTCAAAATTAATATTTTATAAGTACTCAATAAAGAGGCTTAATTGTGACTAATGTTCTCTATCTGTACACTGTGTCACGTCACATTCCTCTTCTAACTCCATTAGTTTGAATCTTAAGGAACTATATATGTCAGGAAAATTTAAATATTTTAGACTCACAGCAAATCTAGAAAGATTAAAAGAAAAATATGCAGCAAAACTGTGATGCTCTTCCAGCAGAGAGATGAAACTGAACTTCTATCTCAAGCCAGTTGCCTAACCATATTTTGTTTTTGTTTTCTAGGAGGATAAATCTCTTTCTGTCTCTTATTTTTCTTAAGGCTTCAAGAAAAAAAAATTACCCTCACAGCATCAGAACATTAAAAATTATAAATTTGGTGGAAGGCCCAAACTGCTTTATCCCTTATCAAAATTGCTGCTAAGGTTGCACAATTGTTCTGTTGTTTTTGGGCTTTGGGGTTTTTTTGGGACAGAGTTATAGCAAAAATGGAAACTAAAGGAGAAGGTTCAGCTTGAGTTACTGCAACTCAGCTTAGTGGTTGGACAAATTATAGATGTCTGTTTAAGAAAACTACTTAATTATACCCTTAAACTTCTAGTGAGGAGAAGACATCCCCATGAATGTCTTTCAAAGCATCTTTAATTATGTAGCCTGCTATTACAGGACTTTATTGACACTTGGTAAGTAATAAGAGACAGCAAAGAGTGATGTAAAATATTGTATTTCAGCCCTGATGATTCCTTTTTTAAGACTTCTCATCGAATATTTGCTGGAGATACAGACCTTATGTATACTTTTGTACAAAAATATTTACTAATTTACTAAGAAAATAAACCACTGAATCAATTCCAACAGCTCAGAATTTACTTTGTGACTGACAGTTAATATATAAACAGCAGAGAACATGGTTAGAAGTTTATCTAAGCATTGAAATAAGCATATTTGCCATTTATTTCTAAAGGATGACATTAGAATAAAATGAAAGCTTTGTTATTATTGCACAGATTTAGTCAGCATCCTATACATGACCATTGCACCTGTACATCAGGAAGTTTGCAGTGTACTCCTCAGAAGTGCAAAACAAGTCTTGGGAATGTGTATAGCAATTTTAAGAGAAGACAACAACTAGTCTGTTTCTACAATGTTTCTTTTAGGGAGGCAGAAGATCAGGAATGCCAACAGTGGGTCCATTTTAGAAATGTCTCTTTTTCATGAAACACAGTCAATGTTTCATGAAAAATGATATGAAATAAAAAATAATATAAAACAATATAATAAAAATGTATAAATTACATACAGAAAATACTGTGGCACTCCATGCAAACATTAGACAGTATTTTCATTGGGTTAGCCATTCTTATGGTACTTGTATTCAGAACCTCCCCCACATTTCCACACCATTATAAGGATGTCTCTTCCCACCACTCACTCTTCCCTGGAAGAGTGTGTCATTGGAAAGTATGTATCATTCTTTCCAAGACACTTGAGAAAAAAAAAAAATAGCAAAACCAAGTGAATGCTGAGTAGTATGGAGAGGATGAACACTGTTCATATTTATGCATACCAAAATACTCATTGAGGGATTATCTTTTTTCAGAGCAGCAAAATCTCCCCAGGAGTCATTTGATGGTGCTGCTGCTGTAGGACATTATTTCTTTGTTAAGGACATCTTTCTTTGTTCCACCAAAGTTAGTTCCTATGAAGTTGTTACTATAACTTTTTAAATTGTTTGTCCTTCTGAAGACAAAGAGGCACATCATAATCTCTTCTCAAGATGTGTCAAAGAGGCAGGTAAATCCTCTTCCATAAGATGGGAACATATCTTTAATGGGGTTCCTGCTTTATTTATTATTTGGAACACCAGCATTGTTAATTATTAAAGCATATTAATCACAGAGAAACAAATTAAAAACTGTCACACATTTCTAACCTAAAGAGTATACATATTTTCTGTGTAAATGAAAGGGAAAAAATTTCAAAAATTTACAAAATAATGCCACAAATGAACAACTGAAAAACAATCTACCCTTTATTATGCAGTCATATCTCCCATGAATATTTAGTGATGTGAACTGATGGTACCTTGAGGCCAGAATTTAGTTAAAAATCAGGTTTTTATTGCTTTGCTTTTTCAACACCAATGTAAGTGTGACAATCCTTTAAGAGTCAGTTGTGTTTCTAACTTGACTCAAGTAAGTGTGACTCCAAATATCTAAGTAAATGCAGCACGAGTTACATGTATCTAAGAATTGCAATATATTAATGTATCTTTCTGTGTAGAAAAAAAATCATGCATCAAAATATCTCGAAGACTCAATATTCACCACTTTACAAGATTAATATTTTGGATTGCTGCACAGATGAATTTATTAATCTCTTAAATTGCAGAAGTGTAGAAAATCTTGCTGGACAAAATGCCAAATTAGCAACATTAACCATCTCCAGTTGAGTTTAGAATTTTGGGTTGTTTTTTTTTTTTTTTTCCAATTCTCCAGCTCATACTACAAATTGAGATGGCCTCTGCTTTTCCTCAAGTTACCCCTTTCTGTCTCTTTTGTGCTGCTGTGAACTGACTATTTTAGTGAAATATATTGTCTCTGACAAAGCTGCTACTAATATGTCTTGAAAAGGGTCCTGGTGACTGGTAGCACTTTCTCCTCAAAGATCAGTCACTGAAGATGTATGAAGAGCACAGACTGCTCACCCTGCAGAGGACCATAAACATACTTTGAGCATGGCTCTCTCACAAGGCATTTTCTGCTATTGCACTGCATGGTCTGTGGTCCTTTAAATTCCTAAACTGAGGGATATGTGATCAACTCACCTCCCCTGAGGGCAGCCACAAAATCTGCTTTGTTTTATTGCTTTTCAATGCAATAGAGTATGTGTCAGTGGAATAAAATGATTTTTCCAATCCTGCCAGCATTTTGTGTAGTCTCTTCCCTAAACTCTAAATGATAGAAAAATCATTAATGTCAGCTACTTTACCATAAAAGAATAACAAAAGATGACACATCAGGTTGGGGGTGGTAAATGGGAAATGAAGGACAATTCCCCCCTCCTCCCCTAATAAGGATTTTAGAGCAGTAGAAGCATATTTCACTGAAGCAAATGTTGGATATGCAGTGACAGCACTATTGAATTATTGCTTGCTTTTCAAGCAAAGTAACTTTTTCAGAAATCACAAAATAATCTTTATCACAATTTAACTGAAATGAGTCCAACAAGCATTTCAAATCAGAGAATAGTTTAAATTTGAAAAGACCTCTACCATCATTGATTCCAATTATTATCATGGCACTGTCAGAACCACCATCAAACCATGTCCCTAAGTGCCACATCTACACTTCCCTGGGCAGCCTGTTCCAATGCTTGACAACCCTGTAGGTGAAGAACTGTTTCCTAATATCCATATAAACCTCCCCTGGTGCAACTTGAGCCTTGTCAGGTCACTTATTACTTGGGAGAAGGGGCTGACCCCTGCCTGGCCACAACCTCCTTTCAGGTAGCTATAGAGAGTGATAACATATCCCTGGGCCTCCTTTTTTTAGGCTAAACAGCCTCAATTCCCACAGCTGCTCCTCACAGGACTCATGCTCCAGACCCTTCCCCAGCCATGCTACCCTCCCCTGGACATACTCCAGCACCTCAATGTCCTTCTTGCAGTGAAGGGCCCAAAATAGAATGGGGGATTCAAGGATAGGCCCCACCAGTGTGAAGTACAGGGGCATAATTACTGCCCGGGATCTGCTGTCTTAACCCCAGATATGTTCTCTTAATTGTGTATTAATAGTCCCTGGTTTTCTGTTTAGTATTTTTTTTGGCATATTTTTATAATTTGGCATAGTACAGAGTTGTTTGAAAGTGTCCTGAAATAGCTGTTTTACAGAGTTTCTCTGTGTCCATTCTGTCACCAAAGTCAGACACAGAGTCTGAAACAACTTCAGAATCACAAAGCGCGTGCAAAACGAATTCAATTTTACTGCATGTTAAAATCACCACACCATTTTATTGTTACTAGCAACCACTAAACAAATGGGCCAGTGGAGTCTGCCAAATTTAATAAATAAGAATAAAGAAGTTTACACTAAAGATTTTCCAGTAAAACAAGACTCCTTCAACTGTGATATATTTTGTGGATTCTTGCCAGTTTTCTCCCTTCCACAATGATAACCTTTTGGCCCTTACTTTAGTTAACCCTGAGATATCTTGTTTACAATCGCTTGCCCAAAGGCAGACATCAGTTAGGCAGGTGATGACCTGCTACCATGAAATAAAAAAGCTGAAGAAAATGAAAAGGCAAGGAACAGAGAAACAATTTACCTCCCCATCTGAAGCTGCAACACTATTTGGATACTCCAGTTATGCTGCTGCTTCCCAGTTCTATTTTACCCTGCTTGAAACAGAAAAGTCAAGAGCAGTTCAGTACTGGTTACTTACTCAATTGTGTTCCTGTCCACTTTTCCTGTCATATTAATGCCATAGAACTGCTGCATGGCAGCTATAGCTGATTGCATGGTTTCTGCAGAGCGCAACACCGACATTCGGGGGTCACTTGGTGGAAGGTAGCCATACTTTTGTAACCATACCTGCAATGACAAGTGCAGTGGCTATTAAATAGAAATTAGAGGTAAATAAAATGCTCCCTAGTAATCAGTTGTATACCATACAGAAAGAAGATTCTAATTCACCAAATATGCGTTCTGCTAGTTTGGGTGCTTGAGTATTTTTTTTAATTTTATCTGCAGATAAGAAATTCTTTGGGAATTTTATTTCACCTTCTTTATTAAAGATTCTGTTGCTGCAAGACGTACAGAGTTTTCTACCCAGAAGCCATCTCTCTTTATTATCTGAAACTGCCTGCTTCAATTATTTATTTAATGTATTTATTTATTTATTTGAAGCTACAACTTAAGCAGCTAACCCTGTCTCTAGGCATTTCAAATAGCGTTTTAAGCAGACAAGATATAAATCTGCAATATATGCCACCTACAATTGACTGCCCACAGGGCACATAATAATATCCACCATCTACAATAATAAATCCACAATAGCTCACACATTTACACTAAATTGTTATTGTCTCTCGAACAACATGAAAGAGAGGGTAGGGAGGCATTCAGCTTTATCAGAATAATATCAAAATCACATACTTATAAGCAAAGCAGGTTTCAAGGAGATAGTAAAGTAGCAGAGTCTGCCTTCACTTAGAGAAAACTCTCTGATAAGAGGAACGGCCTTTTAAAATCAAGATGGACTTAATGCCAAATACTTATGCTCTTAATTGTGTAGAAGTGTGAGGTCCAAATTACTGAAAGCTTTATGGATTAAAGTCACTATTTTAAGAACTCTTGGACAAACACTCTGAAACCTGCTGTCCTCTTGAGGCATCATTTCATAAAAAAGTATCTGCAGTTATCAGGTTTGTATGTATTCTCAAAATCAAGACTATACAGAAAACAGTGAAAGGCTTTTGAGGAAGCGAGGACACAGATACAGCTTTAAAAATGTCTTTTCCTTTGAGGGCTGGAAGTGCTCACTAAAATGAAAGGTACATATATTGCCAATTTAAAAGACTCAATTAAAATGTATTGCTGCAGTTTCACTCCCCCCAGTAACAAAATATTTACAACCACATAAATCTCATCTTCTGTTCTTTAACAAAAAAAACCCAAACAAACAAACAAACAAAAAAAACCCAACAAAAAGATTCTGCCACCTCTTTCAAACATATCACATCACAATTCACGGATTCTGAATCATTACATTAATGAACAGTATCCACCCACCACACCTTATAGTGTTTTGCGGGATCTCTGCTTCATACAACACTTCTGGGTTTTTACCTGTTTGTATGTACACTCTTTATATGCAGCCTAACACCAACCCATGTGTCTATTTTCCATTTTAAATTTATCTTGACAAGTCCACCATTTTAGTTTTACAGCAGGTTAACCGCTGTTGTGGTGCACTCCCCTTTTATGAATACAGTGAAGATGATCACCTTGAATTAACTTATTATTAAGGTTCACTTTACTAACACCAAATGTGCTTTATAGGTGAACATTGGCTCAGTGTAAGTAAAAGAACAAACTGGAATTAAAGATTGTGGAAATCTTTAGGTTATGAGTTCAGATATTCCTAATTTAAGCATGTTTACCTTAAACACACATTTACCTTCGCAGTTCACACACAAACTCAACAACCACAGAATCACAAAATCACTGAATACTTTGAGTTGGAAGGGACCCATAGGGATCATCACATCCAGCCCTTAACTGAATGACCTGCAGGGATCAAACCCATGATCTGTTTGTGAGCTCCACAAAACAGGGAAATACAACACGACAGGGAGGTATAGACAGGATTAAGACCCAGACTAAAGTCTTTCACCTTCACACTATCTCCATATACAGGAACCATTCAAAATAAGGAAATTTTCTTTAATAGATGGGAAAATGCTATTATTCACAATATAAATTAATTGCTACAATCAGTACCTACATACAACTTTACATATTCATACCTTCTTACACTTTGCAGTTTTAAGGAAGAGCTTGTGTACATTAAGGGTGTGCAAGATTTGGGTAAGTACAGAAATAACTTTGTTTATGTCCCACTTTGCAGATGAAGCCTGTTCTTCCCTACATTATTGGAAGATAGCTCTGAAAGGCCAGACAGGGCCTGAACGTTGGCAAGAGCAATGTACTAGGCAGAAACAAGATCATAGAACTAAGAAATAAATGCCTGACACAGAGTGGATTGATTCCAGCATAGTATGCAGTAATATTTACAACGAGTACATTTAATAATGGGGTTATTTTTATATTCATCTTCTCAAGGCAATGATATCAAAACAAATAGTAAGGCAAGAAAAATAGTTCTGAGCAGCATGTCACAGCCCCTTCTCAGTAAGAACTTGGTATGCAGACACAGACCAGGGCTTTTTATGAAGCTCTCAGGTGCTAAGGGCAGACAAAATTGCTTGGTAAGCTTGGGAGGTCACTTCTCACCACACAAAAACATCCTCACTGCAGCATAACTGAAGAAGTCAGAAGTATGGGGCTGCAAGTAAGAAAACTCGGCAGAAGTTTAACTTTCAGATATCTCAATTAGCAAAGATATTAATAGAGACAGATAAAATATCTTGGGGACTACTGCTCATGGGAGAAGTGGGGCAGGGAGAACAAACAGGAATCCAGCAGAGTGCCACTGCAGACACACTTGGCAGGAAAGGAAAAGAGAGTTGGCTCAGAAACAGCAGGAGAGGACAGTAAAGCCTTTCTCTATCTAAAAAGTCTTACATGCAAGGTAAGTACAGGATGCCTGAAAGCCACCCCCAATCACTGAACAAAGGAAGTAGACCACCTGGGTCTTCTCTCAGCCTTCAAAATAGCATAGAAAACACAGCCAACATACTGGAAAGTCAGATGACACTCTGAAAGTAAGTTTCTTTTTGAAAATTCAGACAAATTGACCTTAGACTGGTGAATGTTTGAGAGCTAGTAGCATTCAGTGTTACAAAATTCTTTACTCTGTCCTTATGAGTACGGACAATGAAACAAGAAAAAAGACAGAAAATCTGGTTCTGCAGTTTTCTGCAAGAAGAATAAAAAACTTTTGAAGGACCTTGGCTAGGACTACCAGATATCTGAAATAAGCACCTCAGATTTTATTGTTCATAGCCCAAGTGCTATGAACTATAGAGGAGAAACCTAACTTGAAGCCCAGAATATACAGGTGGGCAAAACAGCAAACAGGAAAAGAAACAGTATGAGAAGGAGAATGAAAGAAAAAAAATTTTCTTGCTCTAGTACTTTTGAGGAAAGCTATAAAATAAATTATACACAGAAGAATTTTCCCCTCCCCTCTAGTGAAATTAGACTTAGTCTGCCTTTAAGGTACTTTAGCAATAACAGTCTTGGCAAGTCTCATCCTGAGGAAATCTTTGGTCTTGGAACAAAGAAATAGTGAAGTAGATCCCTCTAACATGCAACGTCTTGGATGCCAATGGGATCCTTTGCACAGACTCCAAATAAGTGATATGTTTCATTCCTTTCTACAATTTAAGAAGATAAAATACTACTACTTCAAGACAAGTTTTTGGGCAGAACTTTCTTGTCCTGCTGCAAAATGAGATCCATGGTATCTCTCAGGTAACCACAGCTGGAAGGCAATAGGTTCCACCACTTCCCTCTCTAGTACAGTGCTTTAGTATCCCACCACTGTGAAGCTTCCTTTAGAGTTGAATACTTCTTACTATGATTTAATACTAATTTAAGCCTGTAACTTTTTATTTTACCTGCTACAGGTAAAGGGAACCAATTATTTCCCTTCTGAAGCAGCCTTTTATGTATTTGAACTTCCTGATGTCACTCTTTATAATATTTTAAAAAGGAACTAAAGAAACCTCTTTTGCTTAATCATATTTCATTATCTGCATTAACCTCCACAGAACCTGAAGCTAAAATCTATCTTTACTAAGCATCTGCTTGCACTAGATTTCTATGTCAGTTCCCACTATTGGGCTATTAACAAACACTGGAATTTAGCTGTAATGTTAGGAGTAATTCAGAAGAATATGGACCACATATTTCATTTTGGAAGAGAAACAAAAAATAGCAGAAAAACCACAAATAAAATTACCCTAAAATATTTGTATTCAATAACAGAACTTCAAGGCTTATGTCCCATTCATTTATACATTTTAAAATTTTAAATCCATGTTTTACACATTTTTTCCCACCAGAAAAGTTTTTTCAGCCTAATTTCACTTTCTGTTCCCATAATTGTAAAAAAAACCGAGAAACAGAATCCACTGGTGAGGAAATCTGTAGACAGGAGTTTGTTGAGGACCTTACACTTCTGCAGGCATCCCTGGAACCTGTAAGTGCTCAGCACATGAGCTGTATCACCTTCCAGATTCTGGATGTCATTGACTAGATACCTAGTGTTTGGGGTTTTTTAATGACATGATGAAAAAAAATCTTTTCATTTCAGTTTGTAACTGCTATTTATGCTGTGCTGTGTGGATCATCTGGCTGTGGAACAGATAGAACTTTCTCACATGGCTGTATTTTTTTCTCTAAAGAACAAAGAAGTGTATTAAACACACCAAGGGATCCTAATCATTCAGATCTTTGCTTGTTTAGGAAGAAAGATTGATTTGAAAAACAGTATGTCGACACCAAACTCTTATTAAGAACAAAGAAAATGGATGTATTATCATTAAAGATTAAACAAGAATATTATTAAGACACTCAGAGTTTCAGATAGATTACTGATTTCTGAGAGAAGAAAGCTTAGTGACACATTATTAACATTCCTGAATGACAACACATTGTATAAGCTACAATACAATTATGTTCTATGAACCTGAAGGCTTAGTAAATCAGTCTAGTAAAGCACAAATAAAAACAATTTCATAAATATCTTCAGTAGTGCAGCTGCATATAATTATTAATAATGTGTTCCTATTCCTGTTTTAGATTTTATCTGCAGACTTCCTATCTTTACTGAGTAAAACTGTGATATTTCATAATTTCAAAATATTTTGACTTCTGTTTTTTAATATATTTCCACCAAAGAC